AGGCGACAGGATGTGGTCTGTAGTTTGCATTCTCTACAGTTTCGGAATAGACAAACAGTACATCTCGATGGAAAAATGCCAGCTGTCTTGGTAGGTGGGGTGAATCAAGCAGAAGTTCCTAGAAAACTGCCTCAAGGTTACTGCTCGTGGTGCAAATGGGAGGAGTTTGCGCCAGTGGCAGACCCCTTACACAGCAAGGAAATGAAACTACAGTTACTTGAATATGTAAAACTGTAAGTTGGATGAAAATCGCATAAGCTCACCAGCGAGTTTAACAAATGTCTGGATTGGCGAATTGTCTCTGATGTACTTCACAGGACTGATATCGACCTGAACGAACACATTAACAATAACTAGTACAAAGAATTTGGAAGTGGCGCTTGCGATCCTTGAGATCGAAAAAATCTCCTCGATTACCAAGCCTATTACAATCCTTTGAGAAGTTAAGGGCAGTAGGCACGATCGCATGGGGTGGGCGGTCGCCAGAGCCAGTGGTGTGGAGGGCTGGGTGGGGTGTGGCCCGATGCCCTCTCGCAGCCCTTCCACCAATGACGCTGGCGACAACCGCCCGCCTTCAGCAATCATCACCACTGCCTTACTAGTTTGGCTTTGAACCATCAGAGTACAACTCCCTTACCTTAAGAATGCAGCATCCATAAAGCGAGACACATGTATAAGCAATGAAGAAAATCCAACTGATGAAACGAACATCACGCCGCAGTACAAATGGAGCGAAGCGTTCACCGAAGAATTTGTGCTGAACCGGTACTGAAAGAAAAGATCATTACAGAGAGTACGTTTGTGTAGAAGTATGATGACCAGTGCTTCTTGAATCAGGTGAGAAGTTCCGCTACTCACAGTTAGCCGCCTTGGAGTGATGTTGAACGTCGATCTCGACCTCCTCGACCTTATCAATAGGAGGTGAAGAAGGGTCATTCCCCTCCTTGGGCTGAAACATTGTAATGTTTTGTTAACAATTAAAGGTGAGAGCGACCGGTTGTTGTCAGTGTCAATGGTGGAAGGGCTGCGAGAGAGTCTGACCACACTACTCAACACTTCCACTAGTGACGTTGGCAGCAACCGCTGGGCCCCAGCCATCGTGCTCAGTGTCTTCAAGCCCAAATAAATCCTTGAATCAGGGGCTTTTGTGATCAACAATTACCTCGTTCTTGTAGCAGCAAGATGACAGCCCTCCGGTTTCCTCTTTACGTCCTGAATAGCAGAGTACTGCTGCGAAGAAGGTGATCTGAATGAAGAAAAATTGGATCAAAAATATTTTGAGCAAGATGCATAGCAGCCATTGTACAATGAAGTACAGTCTTGTTTGTGGGGCATTTCAGGAGGTGGTGGATTTGGCACGGCGCCAGCCCGTTTCTTTAGTTTTTTTTTCTTTCGGCGACCTACAAGACTTTTGTTTAGACAAAAATGTGCTCAAGGTGGCCGAATCCGATTTTGGGAAGACAGCTTTCTATCATCGCACAACTTTTCCTACTTCGTTTTCATTAGCACTCGCAGAGCGCAGGAAGAACACTCAAGGAGAAGGAGAGAACACTTCAGTACACTCAAGGACAGTCTTGTTCACTGCTGACGCTAAATCGTTTCAGAGGGCTAGGTTTGGCGCGGCGTCAGCCTATTCTTCACTAACTGTGGAATATAGGTGACCATGATTGGAGGAGAACAGGATGGCGCTGCGCCACCCCCCTCCCCCTGGTATGCCCCGTTGTCCGCAGAGATCAACTGTTTACCTCTACACCAAGGATCAAACCGATTAGAAAAGGCGCTCTGTGACTTGAAAGACCCCTTGTAGTACCAATTAGTGAAGCGCGATAGTGCATGACAATGATAGCCCGATCTCAAACTCCGCATAAAATAGCCATATCCCTCCTAGATGAGAGGT